TGTGTGTGTGTGTGTGTGTGTGTGTGTGTGTGTGTGTGTGTGTGTGTGTGTGTGTGTGTGGACGGCACGAAATCCCGTATTATATAGCACACTCTAGATTATTGCACGTATCTTACGCGCCATTTGTAATCATATTATGGACAGCATTTACAAAAGCCGTAAATCGAACCACCGGGCAAGAAGAGCGAAGCATGCGAGGCGTATGCAAACTACACTCAATGGTATAAGAAAAGCAAATGACGCTTTGATTAAGGATGACGAAGATTGATTTAGTTCGATTGCGGGCACCGTAACCTCGTAACCGGTGGCCAATCTTCTGATCTCCTGACCACGTTGTTGCCTGTACTACTATCCCGGGTTGCCGCCCGTGCTGTCGGCACTCGGCTTTCAGTATAGTAGCCGGGCATCCTATTAGCGAACAAGCGCGACGAGGGAAGCTGTAATCATTACCTTAGGAGGGTCGGCGCTAATCCCGCACGAATAATCGTCGCCTGGATGTGAGCGTACAGCAGGAGCAGCAGCTAGCTGCATCCATGGACACGGGTACTAAGTATTGTGTTGCGAACAGCAGCGAGGTGCATGCGCTATACGTGGTCGTTAGTTACATTACCGTATAGGCCGCTGCTGCCGCCGTCGGCTTCCCCGCTCTGCATTGCTCCGCATCAAGGTAGCAACGGCGAACGCGTACGATGTCGAAATGATTAGCGCGATATTCGGCTGCGAGGACTGACGCGTATATATGGCATGCAGAAGAGGTTGCTACCTAGCGACGTGTTGCTGCTCTTTGAATTATCGGGGGTGGTAGTCGTGGCGACGTGGGCGCGGCGGGACGCGAAAGTGGATCGCGTGTTATCTACTGCTGAAGTGCCCAGTAAACAGCTAAAGCGAATGGAGACAGCCAATTCTCGAAGCAGCACGCATTCGTTTCCCGCAGTGCTATTGAAAATACGGTGACACGAGCGGCGGTGCCATAATTATAGCTTACTGCCGCTATGTCAACGTTTGTAATTGCGACCCAAATGCTGCTCGTGCGACTAGCACAGTCACCGCCCCATTGCTTTCGTTATTGTCAGGCGGTGAATGAGTGTCCGGACACACACTGGAAATACCAAGTGTCCCAATTAAAAATTACGTGACAATCCCGTTTGGGGTTTAGGATTAGGGTTAGGGTTGGGGTTAGGGTTAGACAGCCGCCATGTCACATGCCTGAGTTATTTGTCACGTGTTTTCTATGTGAGCGTCAAATGGTAGCGCTCGTGTTTGTACCCTCTGTGCGAAGAGTTTCTAAATCGTCATCGTCTTCATGTTCGGAGAATGGTGCCAGTGGGATTAGTAACATCGGTTTTCGAGCGATCGAGGCCTAACAACTGCTGGTCGAAATTGCGATATACCCTTAAAGCAACTTATGTTATGAGAACGTACATGTCTGCATGTTGTGTGAAGACCACTCGGGCTTATATAGGGTTGTAGCGTTGTAGATTCACAGTGCATCTCATCATCACGTTATGAGCAGTCAACATCTATCGTTATATATAGGTCCTATATATATAATAACTCTATATAATAACTCTATATGTATATAACACGTCACTATGTAAGCTCATTGTGTATGTCGTATTGTCACGTGCGGAAATAACGTTACATATAATTGGCGTTGCTTGCCATGCGTTGGTAACACATTAACATTGCCACACCATTAGGCTCGCCAAGGTGTGCGCGGGCACATAACGCATAGTTGAATCGATAGACTCATGGTTCAGTTCACATCAGAACATTTCAACATAGAGTACAGTTCATATCGGGTTTAGCACACACATGCGTCGCGTTAGCCTGCGTCGTCAATATATCATTGTAAATGTGCGTGCCACGTGAAGCTATACGCATATTCTTTAAATCCAATGCCGGTGATTCACTCTACTTCAGTTGCGTGACATAACCGATCATAGTGTGGGTATATGAAGCCAGTTAACCCACTGGCTGGAGTTACCACTAGTCAATACATATAAAATCTGTGCGACTCTGGTGGGCGTTGTATGTACTGACTCAGCAGCAAGACCCTCAATCTCAATTCGGCTGATCCAGTAGTCGAACCGGCACGAATTGTGTACAGACCGGGAAAAATCACAATGTTGTCTTCATAAGGTCTGTCCTTACACGGCCTGTTTTAACACGGTCTGCCTTAATAAGGTCTGTCCTTACATGGCCTGTTTAACACGGCCTGTCTTCATAAGGTCTGTCCTTGCACGGCCTGTTTTAACACGGCCTGTCTTCATAAGGTCTGTCCTTGCACGGTCCTGTTTAACACGGTCTGTCTTCATAGGTCTGTCCTTACACGGTCCTTAGTTTAACACGGTCTGCCTTCATAAGTCTGTCCTTACACGGCTTGTTTAACACGGTCTGCCTTCATAAGGTCTGTCCTTGCACGGCCTGTTTTAACACGGTCTGCCTTAACAAGGTCTGTCCTTACATGGCCTGTTTAACACGGCCTGTCTTTATAAGGTCTGGCTATACACGCTATGTCTTCATAAAATCTGTCTTAACACGCTATGTCTTCATAAA